CACTCTCATGTTGAGGTAAGAACTCGGGAGGACAATTATCTAACGGCGGTATCAAGCTTTTGTTTGAAAAGGAATAGAGGCTATCTTCTTAGCTACTGAAGCAGGTGGGTTATTGCCTCACAGTTTAAGGCGCCAAACATGTGCCTGGGATGAAGTCTGTGACTCTGATGTGGACTGAGGACTGTGGGGTCCCTGAGGTCTTCACCTAGAGAGGCAGTTGGAGTGCTGGTTGGCAGAGCCGGCTCTAGAGTCAGACTGCTCAGGTTTTAATCCGCTTGGCCACTTCCTTGCTGGCTGACCTTGGGCAAGGCACTACTAGCCTTTCTGGCCTCAGTCCCCTCGTCTGCAAAATTGTGTAATGCCACTTCACGCAGTTGCTGTGGGAACCAAATGATGGATGCTAGTAATGTGTCAGAGCAGCGGCCACCACGGGGAAGTGCTCAGTAGATGAACCAGGTTTTACTTTTCTTTCCTTTTCTTTCTTTTTAAGATTTTATTTATTCATTCATGAGAGAGAGAGAGAGAGAGGCAGAGACACAGGCAGAGGGAGATGCAGGCTCCTTGCAGGGAGCCTGATGCAGGACTGGATCCCAGGACCCCAGGATCACGCCCTGAGCCAAAGGCAGACGCTCAACCACTGAGCCACCCAGGTGTCCCAATGAACCAGGTTTTTAAAACTCGAGAGCCCACGTTTTGCCACTTCCTTTGACACCTCGCTGAGAAATAAGGGGCGCAGGTCAGAGCAGGCTCCTGGGCCCAGAAGGGGAGGGTGGGTCAGCATGCTCCTTTCCCCTAAGGAAGGAGAAAAAGCCACTACGTCTGTCCAGAGGCCAAGGAAATGGGAGGAGGAAGGGAGCAATCAGAACTTCAGATGTCATGTAAGCAAGAGACCACAACTTTCTTTCCAAACAAACTATGAGGAGAATAGATGTTAATGTTTGCAGCCAGGGACTGTGTGTTAATCATTATTTTTATATCCATCGCACTTGTCCTCTGGTAAGAACTCAGCAGCTCCATCGATGTTGGAGTGTATGGGCCTTTTTGTTCATCCATTTGTTCAGTCGCACAGTGTGTTTTATTAGGCACCTGTTGTGGACGGGGCAGTGCCCTGGGAGCTTGCCGTCTGCAGTGAGGGAAACGGGGACCGATCCCCCTCCCCCCGTGGAGCCGTCACTCCCTCTGGACTGTGAGCCCCTGCTGGCTCCTAATGCTCACCAATTCTTTTAATAAAGTAACCATCCTCCTCTCTCCCTCCCCATCCCCACTTTTGTTAACCCAACTCCCCTGTAGTTCCTAATACCCGTATTTCTGGAAATTTTGGCATGGATGATTCTCTCAAACCTGCTGGTTGGTGATCTTCCTGGCGAGCCGTGTAATTTAGAAGAAAGAGCTCCTGACTCGGTGCCAGAGACCTCCTAGGTTGGAGTCTTAGCTCCGTCAGGAGTTGGGTGGACTTGGACATCTTCCGAGTTTCTAATTTCTCTCTTGCAAAATGAGAAGGATACGTATCTTGCAGTAACCTGTCTAGAACTTGTGTGCTCCTGAGAATCTGCTGGGTTTTCATAAAAATCCAAATTTTATACCTCAGCTTACAACTGCCTAAGGACCTCCCTCTTTATTATTTTTAACAGCTGGCACCAAAGCTATACTAGTATGACAATGTCCTGTCTTCCCTTTGTATTTGCACTTTTTCATTTTGCATGTAGGATTTAAGAACGTGAGCTTTCCACATCTTCCCAGACATGAGAGGTGACCGTGCTTATCCAGAAGGTCCGGCAGGAATCACCAGGCAAACTGAGAAAACGACTCAGTCACTTTTACCCAGCTTTACTCATCAAACCACATTGCCTTCCCTTAGGTTTCGGTCCTGGAAGATGGTTTCTTGCTTTGCTCCTCAAAGGAGTGGGGTATGTACCAGCAACATGGGCATCGCCAGGGAGCTTGTTAGAAATGTGGGATCCCAGGCCTCACCCCAGATCTTCCCAATCAGAATCTGCAGCTTGACAAGTCCCTTACATGATTATTGGAAAAGCACCGATCTACCGAATACCTCTGGGCCAAAATACTATTCAGGTGTGTTGTTCTTTTAAAATGATGGTGATCATTAGTGACTTGAAACTCTAATTGGGGACCACATGGCTGCTTAAACGGCTCTATCTGCATGAATGCAGTTGCCATGACGTCACAAAATGGATGCCGTTTGTGAGCTAGCAAGTGAATTCTATATATGTTGAAAAATGAGGTAAATATAAATTCCCTGTGACAGTTTAATAGGGGCTGTAAAACTTTCACATGTGTAAGTCTCAGTGCATTTTCCTGAATACTGGAATCAGAAAATAAATTTATGTTGGGGGGAAGTTTTTGTGTGTGCGTATGTTTTTTCCAATGTGGACTTACGAGAGATTAATTTACGAATTAGGTCTCTGAGTAGGAGGTGACGTCGATGGTCTGGCCTGTACGGGTTGGCCCTCTAAGCCAACCTGGGCAATACACATAAATAGCTTCCTAGGCCTTTGCTTTTTAAAAACTTGTGGCCATCTAAAAGGTGGAAGGCAATTTAGTAAATACAGACAGACTGCTGAACAGCCAAGGAAAAGAGATGCTGGCATCATACCTGTCTGCGTGAGTGGACAAGATGTGCTTTTCAGGATTAATGATCTAAGATGTTCTTTACCTCCCCGGCCTGATTAAATGAGGCTTAATTCAAAACAACCCTTTCTCCTTTTCTTGCTGTCTTCAGAATTCACCATCCTTTCCCACCCCCCTCAGGATTGATTGCCGGGCTGGTCCAGAATGCTGCCTGTCTGAGGCCGGAACTTCTCTCTTTTTTTGTAAAAAGTAAGATTATCCCTTTCTTAATTCCTTGTTTTTATTGCCGTCAGATGGGAGGCTTTCAGAAGGAGGGAGTTAGCATTCATTGCTCCTTCCCAGGAGGTGGCTCGACTTTTGAGTGAGGCATTCGTGAGGATCCTGTTAGTGGCATCGTGGCAGCCTGGACTTTCAGGCCTCCTCCTCTGCGCCCGCCTTCCCCGCACACCCCTCCGCTCCCAGGCAGGTGGTTGCCCCGGCCTGTCATCCAGCTGTTACTCTCTTTTTTGGAAATCCATCCTCTTGCTTCCGATTTACAGGGTCTTATTATGTTCCCTCTTGGTCAGCATTTCGCAGAGTTTATCCTGCCAGGTTTTAATAGGTATCCTGCCCCCCCCCCCCCCCCGAAACGTTAATTGATCAGGAACAGACTGCAAAACGCCCATCTAGACAGAATTAAACGCGGTCCTGTTTGTTGGTGTCACCCCAGGACGGCCCAGGGCCGTTGATACCCTGCCAGGTGGGATTGGGCTGTTTGTGGCCGCATTCCCGAAAGTCTCTCCTGGTAGGACCCTCTTGGGGAGCATCGAGCGAGACTGGGGTGCAGTGAAATGCACTTTCCAGCCTCTCTTGGTGTCTCCGCTCCGTGCTTCTCTCTATATCCGATGCCGTGTCTCATGGTCCCATGTGCAGCTGCATGTTTAGTATCTTCAAATTCATCCTGGATTTTTTTTTTTTGAAGATTTTATTTATTCATGAGAGACACAGAGAGAGAGAGAGAGAGAGGCAGAGATGTAGAGGGAGAAGCAGGCTCCCTGCAGGGAGCCTGACGCAGGACTCGATCCCAGGACCCTGGGATCACGCCCTGAGCTGAAAGCAGATGCTCAGCCACTGAGCCACGCAGGGGCCTCTAAATCCACCCCGGCCTAACTGCTACCACCAGCATTTTCTCCTGAAAGCTCCCTTGCTCTTCGGTGTCAAATGAAGGTGGGATGCCTCCCCTCTTCCCTGAGGCCCCCCCATGTTCCTGCCCCAACCGACCCAGTGTCCTACATCGTCTTCGGGGCCTGGCGTGTCTCTGTGGCCCTTACACCTACTTCTCTGTCCTCACGGGGCCCGGGAGGACCTGGGTGGCGGGTGGGTGGGGGGCCTGCACGGCCCAGGGTGCTGGATCCCCAGCCCGGGCAGCAGTGCCCAGCGCCTCGGGGTCCCCAAGCGCGTTGAAGTGAGTGCCTGAGAACCCCCAGGGGCCCCTCGCACCTGTGGCCACGGTCAATGGCCCGCTCTTCCCTGGCGAGCGTCCCTCGCCCGCTGCCTTGCCATCTCGCCGGGCCTCCCAGGGCCTTTCCCGGCCGCTGTTCAGCTGCCACGGGGCCTGGGGCCTCGGTGTCCGCGCCCCTTCGCGGGGCACCGCCAACCTCGCGGGCAGGGGGCAGCCTGTGGCCCCAGGAGGCTGTGAACGGGGACGGTCCTTTCCCGACGCTGCCCTTCTCCCGAAAGGCATTTCTTTGGTGTGTGACAAAGCTCGGGGGCGGGGGGGGGCAGAAATTTCACTTGCTCCTCAAGGGGAGGAGGGCAGGGTGGTCCAGGAATGCGGGGGGCTGTGACGGGCCCCGGGGCTCCTCTCCTTCTGGGCTCATTTGTGCATCCCCCCCCCCCCGCACTGTTGGGCAATAGGTTTCAGCTTTTAGGCGAATGTGTTTACATTTTCCCCCACTATATATTCCCCCCCCCCATATTTTTTATTTGTTTCTGTTAGTTACTGGCTTCCCCTCCCTCCCGTCCGAGAGAATCCAGGCGCGTATACACAGATGCTGGGAAACAGCAATGCTCTTTTTTTGCAAAGCACGTCTTTTTGGGGCGGGCCTGGGCCCCACGCGAGTGTGAAGGCCGCCAAGGCCGCCGAGGCTGGCTTTCTCCCGAGCCACAGGGAGCCAGGAAGCTGTCATTCCTTCTCGTCCACAGCCTGTCTCCTGTCCCCTGGCAGCCAAGCCAACCTGTCCTCTCCGTCCTAAAGCCTCCCGAATCCCCCGAGCCCTTTCTGATTCAGCCCTTTTCTATTTTCTCTTATATCCCCAACTTACGTTTGTCCTGTTCCAAGGTGGCGATCACCTAAATGGCTAAAAAAAAAAAGCATTCCTGTGGGAGGTAGGGTAACAAAGGCTTGAAACCAGGCTGACCTTTCTCCCCAGGGTCCCCCGTTTCCTAGCTGCGGAGCCACAGTCGACCCTTTCCTCTCGGAGCCTCAGTTTCTTCATCTGTGACGTGGGGATAACCATGCCTGCCTCCGCGTGCTGTGGCCAAGAGCCCGATCAGATAATGCACGTAACGCCTGGAGCCCAGTGTGCGGCCACCTGGTGACCGGTCGCCAAGCGGCCGAGATCTGCCCTCTGCGTCTCTGGTATGTGGGGTCCGGGGGCCGGAATCTGTTGTCATCCTTGAGTGCCTGACACGTGGTAGGCAGATCATTTTGGTTTCCAAGACAGACGTGCGGGATTTCGCCTTCTCGAGGCATCCGGCTAAGTAAGGCGAGGAGCCCGGGCTTCGTCGTTGATCTCAGTCGGCCGAGTCCAGACATTGGAAAGAAAAGGCTCACCCTGAAGGGGACTGTCGCGCTGTGGGCAGGAGCACGTTCCCTGGGGGTCTGGCATTTCCCAATAGCTGATACGTAGATCTGTAAGCAAAGGAGGACTTTTAGGAGGCGTTTGGGATGATATGGTGACATTCTTTTTTTTTTTTTTAAGATTTTATTTATTTGTTTTAGAGGGAGTGGGGAGCACAAGCAGGGGGAGCTGCAGGCAGAGGGAGGGAGGGAGAAGCAGGCTCCCCAGCTGCGCAGGGAGCCCGGGGCGAGGCTCGATCTCAGAACCCTGGGATCGTGACCTGAGCAGAAGGCAGGGGCTCAACCGGCTGAGCCACCTGGGTGCCCCATAGGGAGTCATTCTTGAACACAGCGGCCCTCCCTCGGGCATAAGGGTGAGGTGGATTTGTTCTCTCTCTCTCTGCAGCAGCGGTGCTGGAAAGAGCTCTGTTGAGAATGGGGGGCTTCTTCAGCGTGGCATTTCTGGATCGCCCTTCCTCCGCTGCGGGGTGAGGAAACTGGGCTGGATGACCTCTAAGACCCTCTAGGGCCGAAGGTCACATTTTCAGTCCCCATTTTTTTTTTTATAAATTTTTATTTATTTATGATAGAGAGAGAGGGGCAGAGAGACAGGCAGAGGGAGAAGCAGGCTCCACGCACCGGGAGCCCGACGTGGGATTCAATCCCGGGTCTCCAGGATCGCGCCCTGGGCCAAAGGCAGGCACCAAACCGCTGCGCCACCCAGGGATCCCTCAGTCCCCATTTTTAAGAGACTCTTTTTTTTAATTTTAATTTTTTTAAAGATTTTTTAAAAATTTATTTATTCATGAGAGACAGAGAGAGAGAGAGAGAGAGAGAGAGAGAGAGAGAGAGAAACAGGCAGAGGGAGAAGCAGGCTCCACACAGGGAGCCTGACCCCAGGTCTCCAGGATCAAGCCCTGGGCCGAAGGCGGCGCCAAACCACTGAGCCACCCGGGCTGCCCAGAGACTCTTTTTTTTTTTTTTTTTTTAAATGAAATGTGATTTCTTTTTTTTGTACATTTTTTAAAATTTAAATTCAATTTGCCAACATAGAGCATAACACCCAGGGCTCATCCCTTCGAGTGCCCTCCTCAGTGTGCCATCGCCCCGCTTTTCTGTTACCTGCGAAGGCATCTGCACCCATCTCCACCCTGGCGGGCTGGTTTTTACACCGTGCTTTGGGGTGAAGGGCACAATTCTTTGAGGTTGACGTCAGCTTTCCTGTTGCCTTTCCTCTCGTTTTCCTGCTCACTCTCTTCCTTAAAGGCGTCCGGGAAAGCCAAGAGTGGTGCATCGGGTCGGCTCTCCCTTTGGTGAGTGTGCGGTTGCCTCTTGTCGCCGTCTGGGCAGACTGCTCCCCGGAGTTGCCTTTTTCCTTCTGGATCATTGGCGTCTCCCGTCCTGGTATTTCCTTGACTGTTGGCCTATTCTCTGTCCTTCCTGTCCTTGTGACCTCAGAGTCCCCGAGGAGTCGTGCGCGTTTCTGGGACCCTGCCAAGGGAAGCAGTGCTGCTGGGCAGGCCCCAGCGGGGTCCCTGGGAGCCTGGCCTGTGCGGAGCTGGGCACAGTGAAACCCCGCCAGGTCCGCCACCCCTGGGTGCTCACCGCTTGGTTCCCGCTTCCCCTCGGTCTGGATGGTGACCGTGACGGCGTCTGAGACTGGGCACAGGGGTCCGTCCGGAGATGCTCTGCGGGTGGCCTGCGTGTGCAGCGGTGCTGCCTGGGCAGGTCTTGGCCTGTCTCTGCAAGCGGCAGGTTGTCCAGGTCTCAGGGAGCTGGGCCTTTGGGCACCTCTGTCACACGCTGGGCTGGAGGCCTGGTATTTCAACCACTAGGACCCTTGAATCCTCAGGCCCACCCCCTCCCACTCAGATGCGTGCCAACCTGACACCACTGGCATGGGGGCCCCTTCCTGGGGAAACCCCGTCCCCCAGGACCTGGGATCGTGGCCCTAAGCTCTGCTGCAGGGAGGGGAGATGCGTTTGGATCACTGCCTCTGCCTTTGCTGGTGATCCTGGGACCCCGCAGGAGCTGCCCTGGGACCGCGGCGGGGAGGCAGGGACACTGAGTGTGACTTCCAGAAGCTTCCGCTCCAGTCAGCCCTGTTGGAGAGCGTTGCCTGTTCCCTACATCCCAAGGAAGCATCAACCGCATAAAGACAGGCCATTTGAGAAGACTGAGCCCCCGAGAGGAAGGCGTAGGACCCCCTGTCCTAGTCTGAGTTCACGCAGAAGCCTTCCTGGGCGATGACCCCCCCCCCCCCCAGAAACACTGTTGACAGCCGGGTTGGGGACGGCGAGGAAGGCCACAGCAAGCCTTGTGGCCACTGGAGCGTGGTCCCCCGGGGAAAGTCTGGGCTGTAGTGTCGCACCAGCACTTCCCAGTGACCCCAGGTACGCCGGTGCTGGCCGCAGGCTGGCTGTGATGGAGCCCCTTAGCCCCCCTGGGCCCCTTCTACGGGATCCCAGGGGTTTGTTTGCTCAAACAGAGTGAATTCAAGACTCAGCAAGGGCCGGTCTTCCGAGGGGGCCCGGTTTTGAGCTGTAGGGTCACAAGGATCCGGTTTCTCGCTCCCACGTCAGTGCTCCTTCCACTTGGCTACTCAAGGCAGAAATTTAAATTTGTGATGATTTACGAGGCACGCTGGCCCTGATTAATGGAACAATATTACAATATTTCCCACCCCGGCGTGGCTTTGTTAGTCTTTTCCCGAGTGAAAGATTGTCAGAGGGATGAAATCCCCTTTGAGAGCCAGAGAAAGAGCGAAAAACGGCTGAGTGTGTAAATAAAGTCTCCCAGGAAGATCATATTTTTGGAGGCATTTATTATTCATGTCTTTTTGTCATTGTCATGTCTCCAGTGTTTACTCGGTCTTTCTAGCTCTTTGCTTTTCCAAGGGCACGGCCGATCCCTTCGAGAAGAGCCCTGCGGCCGCCGCTTTACCGACGGCGGCTCATTACCGTCCAGGTTATTCCAGACGAGGTGCAAATGCTCTCGCCGAAAGGCAGCTCGTGAGCTCGCCCCGCCGGGAGCGGGGAGGCCCGGGACGGCTGCACATCGTGTGTTTGGGGGCCCCGCTCCTCGGGAGGAAAGGGCCAGGCTTGGCCACGCAGCACCGCGCTAGGGGGGCCGCTGGCCCCGGCCTCCGGCAGAAGCCAAGGACCCCAGCAGGCCGGCGACGTTTGCATGGGGAACAGTCCCCGAGTGACTCCAGCTCCCCAGGCCGGCGAGGCCTGCCACGGGGTCCGCAGCTCTGCGCAGGGGCCCTGGAGGAGCGAGGGGGGAGATCCAGAGCTTTCGTCCGCGTCCCCGACTCCTGGACACACTCGGGCACTTGAATTCTGTGTCCGGTTTCTTGTTTCTGCGGAGCCAGAGGTTTCGGTCTTATGCTGCGAACCCGCCTAAGCTGGGGAACCAGGTCTTCACGTGGGCAGAGCCTGCGCAAGTCTTTCCTGAGAATTGCTGGGTGTTCGGTGTGCACGGTTTTTAAGGGGGTGCACCTGGTTCCCAGAAATGGGGCAAACCTGTTTAAATCTCTCCTTCGCCGTGGTCCCCGGCATCTCTTTCCTTAGATCTTCCTGGGGAATGGATGCGTCACTCTTGCCCACTGTGCCACCCCAGAGGTGGCCGGTGGTTCGGCTCGGCCGCTGGAACTTGCATCCCTTTGAACACAGTCGTGGGTGTGTTTTCTTGCGGGTATCGGCTATTCGCATGGCACGACTTTGCCTGTCCGCGAAGGACACCCCTAGTGTCTCCTTCTGTCCTTCCCCTCTTGCTGCCAGAACAACTGCCCCAAGCCAGGCACCCCAGCCCTGCTTCCCGGGGCTCCAGAGGCATAGGGCCTGGCCAGGAGAGCCCCTGCCAGCCCCTGGGAGCCACACCAGGCCCTGGAATTGCTCCCACCCCCGGGCCTCCTCGCCCGCCCCCCTGCGTGCAGGTGAGACCAAGTGACCCCCTCCAGCCAACACGCTGTTCGGGGGAGGGGACTTCAGTCAGGCCCATTCCTCATTCTTCTTTTCAAGAGAACATGGAAGGGGTGCGGGGAGGGCGGTCCATTCCTGCCTTTTCCACTCAGACTTCTTTTTTTTTTTTTTTTAAGTTTTTTAATTGTCGGGATAGTTTGTTCTGTGTTGCTAACTTTTAAATAAAAGCTGTATTTTATCTCGTCTAAAGCAATGAGCACAGCTTTGCTTTGGGTGACTTTATTCCGCCTTCTCCTGAGGGGACCTGGAGGGAGCGGGTGGCGGGTGGTGCCCCGCTGCTGCTCACTTGCCTGTGTCTGGGGGAATGCTCTGTGGCCTTCAGGAAGTCGCCTTTTTGGTGTTTATCCAAAGGTGGGCCCTTTGGAAATGGGCTTTTTCTTTTGTTTTCTCCCCACCCCCTTCTGTCCAGTTGGGAATGTTCTTTAGGACCTTTACTGCTGGCTTCCTGAGCTGGCCTGATGTCCAGCGGCGGCGGGGAGATGCCGGCTCCCTCTCGGGGTGGAGAACGGGCTGTGGGCCCGGGGCAGAGACCCCCCCACCCCCCCATCCCACCCCCCAGCCCCCCACCCCCCCATCGGAAGAGGAGCGGCGCCGCCCCGGGCGCAGCGGCCTGAACCGGGATCTGTCCGTGCCCCTGGGACCCGTGCTGTGTGGGCGGACCAGGCTCCAGGGCGCCCTGAGGTCGACCCGCCCGCCCGGGACACTGCACCCGCGTTGGGCGCAGGCTGCACCTGCGTGCAGGGCCCCGCGCCGCCCACCAGAGGGCACTGTCGCCGCTCTCAAAGCCGCAGCGCCGGGAACTCCGGCCTCCGTGCC